CGAGAGGTCAATACACATACAACAGTATCACAATGGAAGACTGACTACTTAACATGTAGCAAACACTTGCAATATTATATTCAAGCTAAGTATTACCTTAGTCATTCTGTCATCCACACAAACAATCTCGTTTTGAGTTTATTATCATAAACACTTTTTTAAAATTTATCAACTGAGCTATTAAAATCAAGGTTTGAAATCTGTAATTCCTTATAGATTAGGTTTCTCTGGACAGTGACTTAGACAACGGATATATACGTTCCTGAGATTCAATCAATCCAATACCTTAGCATTGTATAGTGTATACGTTCAACGTACACACACACACACACACACACACACACACACACACACACACACACACACACCACCAGCACCACACACATACACACACCACACACACACACACACACACACACACACACACACACACACACACACACACACACACACACACACACACACACACACACACACAGGAGGCGTATATATTGATCTGTTGTCTTTATCACTGACCCATCAATAGTCAGTCAGCATGTATCAAATCTTTATAACCGGTGAGATTGTGATAACTGTCACACCTGACTTATTTGTCTGAATGGCACGTCTGCAAACAAGGGATGAACAGTTACTCAGTAACTCGGGGTAACGATTTTCTGTGCTGTGGAATCAAAGTACCCTTGTACTACATGTATATACAGTACATATATGTTACGATGATGTGTGTCATTCCTTAATCAGTACTATGTTCCAGTATAAGTATATACACTTAAGGGTAGACACATGTTAATGATACTAATGACAGAGAGACAAATAAACGCAGGTCGGATTGTATTATTTCCTTGGTTAGTTATAAGGTGCCGTTTTTGAAACAGTTTTTCATACGATGAACAAAATGTTGGTGCAGAAACAGACAAGCAATTAATAATATAACCGTGATGCAATCGCGTTACTAAATAAAATCCACAAAAAACAATATATAAGGCGCCTTTTTACTATTTATTCCTTATTTTATATCAATAATTCATTTATGGATACCAAAGAAAGAATTCATATGACAAATTTCATTTTATTATATCATGAAATGTTTATAGATATCGCAAATCGATTTTTATATATAATATATTATATCTAATAATGCATTTTATCATATAAAAACGAATTTGAGATGTGTTAAATATCAAAAGTAGATTTTGGTATAACAAATTGTGAGAATTACATTCGCTAGGTTGTTTTGACTATGGATTCCAGCATATCTGGACATATTCTTTGCCCCGTCTCTACTGGGTGAGTGTTACTCACTAAACATTTACTGAGGTTTAGTGTTTTGTTGTTTTTTTAGTTGTTTTTTTGTTGCTTTTTCGTTTGTTTTTTTGTTTTGTGTTTTTGTTGGTTTTTGTTTTTGTGTTTGGTTTTGTGGTTGTTGTGGGTTTGTTTTGTTTGTTTTTTTTTTTGGGGGGGGGGGGGGGGGGGGGGGGGAGTCTCGACAAATAATGACCACATAAATTGTTACTGATGGTATGATACCTATAGCCTTTGTCTTCATGACCTTATGTCCATTTTTGAATAGTTTGTGTAGATAGGTACAGTGTCGTACTATTTACATATATAGCCATATTCAGATGATGCCTCTTTTCTGTGAGGGCAAGATTCTTTCCTTTATTTAATCAGTTTTCCTCCTGGCTCTGCAACTGGAACACATGCTTTAGGATTACATTGTATCTCGTTATCATTGTATTTTAATGCGTTTTGAATATTATTATATATTATATTACTTCCTACATGACGTGTTAGTTTTACATAGAATATATGTTGACAGTAGCGCTGGGAGTTTATTCAACAGATCCGTGAAAAGAACACTTCTTTGTCACTTAAATGACGCCGTCAAAGCCAATGTTTACCTCTTCTGGCGGCCATTATGCAACGGCCATCTTATACACAACCCCGCGCTCACGTCTACAAGTCTCTTCCCGTGGTCCTGTAATTTGTATAACCTTCTCCCTCAAGTGTATCTTCCACGATATAACAACTCTCATTAATTAAATGCTGCTCTTTCCCAGCATCATTGCTATGGGGATGAGACAAAGAGACCCAACCATCATGAAGGAATTGGGGTCCAATTAAAACAATGCTCCGCCAAACCTCATAAACATGATCACTGAAAGTCGTACTGCAGACGTTTAATGTCAAATCACGAAAAAGGCATTTCAAAGGCAATAACATTTTCCAGGATTATTTATTCTCTTAACCCCATGGCAAAAGGTCATTTTGAAGCCAATGGTCGTATATATAAGATGGATCTAATTGATCACAACAGTACTCATATTTACCCACTAAATCACATCTAAAAAGGAGTAATCAGCAATCTTATAAAATGTGTATTAACAAAATCTCTCCTTGCTACCACCTCCAAGTTCAGCTTAACATGGGTCCTCCTTTGGTCAAAGGTTTCTTCCCGCTGTAATGAGTGCGTCACGCGTTGCACACGAGTGACGAACCGGGTGCACCCCTGTGTTCAACGCGTTGCACACGGGAATCACACGCGTGGCGGACGGTTCGACACGAGTGACCAACGGGGTGCACACCTGTGTTCAACGCGTTGCACACGGAAATCACACGCGTGGTGGACGGATTCCACACGAGTGACCAACGGGTTGCACACGGGATGTGTAATGCGTTGCCCATGCGTGTATAGGAAATGAATTTCTAGGCAGTAGTGTAGGCCATCTATTAGATATTACAGAATGGTTTTTGTTCTGTTTTCAACTTTTGAATCAAGAACTTCGTCAAAATATTTTTCAAAGCGTTGTCTAGTGTGAAACTGGTGCTGGTTAGCTCGAGAAAGCTGCTTTCTGATTGGCTAATGTCGATTTCTTGTTAGTCATTTCATTAGTCGGTCAAAGTTGACCTAAAATAGGCATGCCCTCAGATCTTTGTTCAGCGAAAAAACTAAGATTTAATGTTAGTAAGATTTGTAGATGTTCTTTATCAACGGAAGTCAGGCTTGTCGGAATGTGGGACCGACCACTTGACATTCTGTGGCGGCTGAGATTGTGTATGGAGACTAGATATTGTTCAGCTATAGCTGCAAAACCGCATAGTTTTTCATTAAAGCTATGAGCCCAATTTTTTTAAACCCATCTTGCAACAAGGTATTTTTTTGTGGCAGACATATTATTCCAAAGTGAAGAATATTTGTTTCTAGCATTTTCTGTGACTATTTACTTTTTTTCAATAAAATCTACATCCACAGACACACAAACACACACACAAACACACACACACACACACACACACACACACACACACACACACACACACACACACACACACACACACACACACACACACACACACACACACACACACACACACACACACACACACAGACCAACACACAGACCAACACACACACACTCACACCTGTCTTGTTTTACAGTTAGCTTGCACACAGTTCTATAAATGTTTCATTAGTTTTATTGCAGTAATACTTCAATCATGTCTGGAGCGTGTGGGGTCATATTTGAAATGTCCAGTCATGTGTCAAATATGACAAACCAATTCACTCCCTGCTACGGAGAGATGGCCTACGTCTGTCGCCAATATACCAATATCGAAGGAATATGACATACTGGGGTTTAGGTTTAGGACAGAGATTCAAAAGAGACATACATGTTTTTAATTCAGTGTCATCTGGAAATGCTTCGAAGTGAACGGTATGGCTCCAGGTCATCCCCAACCGTTCTCAATATTGTTTCTACCATCTTCCCGTTCCTGCGGGGGAGATATATAAAAATACTGACAATACAAGAACAATATTTCACCACGCATATTCCTTCCACCATTGCATTATGTGTGAATATTTGTGTTTATGGGGGTTATGTTTTTAATTTCAAATATAGTCCTTTGAGCTTCGCAAGTCGGAAAACTTTGATGCCATTTTCTTCCTGAATACATGACACTTTTTATGGATAGCAACTTCTTTTATACTTTGTACGACGTTTCTGAACTTCCTCTTGCTCCTTCACCATTCGTACAAAGTATATAAGAACTTGCTATGAATTAAAAAGTGTCATGTATTCATGTTCTCCCAACTTCTACATGCCCATCAAAGACTTCATTTTCGTCCTCAAAGATAATCTAATTCACAGGTCTTAAGGTATTTTCTGTAGATGGATGTTATCAGCCAGGTGACATATTAAAGCTCAACATATTGGAGACTTGTACAACGACGCGGTGCCGTATTCTGGATGCCATCTCGAACACTGATTGATGTATTTAACATTCACTGTATGGATAATCTGAATGAATGCCGGATCAAGACAAATGTTATACGTTTTCATAGGATAAGGTCGAACAACACTGGTCGATACCAACTCAATTCAATTTGTAGACATGCTGTGTACAGATTCATGGTCAATCAGAACAATCCTTATAAACGATGTCAGAAGCCACATCCTCGAGTTATGACAGCCATCGTGTTAGTTTCATCCCCAGCGAATTTGTCCTCTGTTGTAATGATGTAGAAAATTAAATACATGTGTTTTTTAAATACCCCGTGTATGATGATCTCTGCAATTCTCTCGAAAATATTGTTCGAGATGTTGAAGAAGATTTTGATTATCTGAATGATGTAGATAAAGTATGCTTTTAATTCTCCACCGTTGTCTTTTTTGGTCGCCCAAACCGCTTATCTTATACTTGCCCTTCGTCGAAATCTTGTGTGTAAATCGTAGGTATTACACTTTATACTTTATCTTGTACTTCAACCTTGTACAAATGTCTTTTAAATTGTTTTAGTGTCTCATAATTCCATAAGGAATGGTGTATGTACTGTTATATATGTACCTTGATTTTTGTTGTGAATAATGCTGTACACTCCGTGAGATAAAATATCTGTCTATCTGTCTGTCTGTGATGTGGGGTGTGCGTGTTCCGGTAGCACGGAGGCGTCATAACAATAAACAATCTTTAATAATTCCCATTATTATTCATTGCAGACACTTATCGGTCCGTGTGCAGATCACACTTGTCTCCGGGGAACCATCTGCACATGCGGCAGCTCTCTGTCACAGTGTATAGAAAGTGAGTACGGCGGCTCTCCGTCACAGTGTATAGAAAGTGAGTACGGCAGATCTCTGTCACAGTGTATAGAAAGTGAGTACGGCAGCTCTCTGTCACATTGTATAGAAAGTGAGTACGGCAGCTCTCTGTCACAGTGTATAGAAAGTGAGTACGGCAGATCTCTGTCACAGTGTATAGAATGTGAGTACGGCAGCTCTCGGTCACAGTGTATAGAAAGTGAGTACGGCAGCTCTCTGTCACAGTGTATAGAAAGTTAGTACGGCAGCTCTCTGTCACAGTGTATAGAACGCGAGTACGGCAGCTCTCTGACACAGTGTATTGAAAGTGAGTACAGCTGCACCCTACCACAGAGTATAGAAAGTGAATACGGCAGCTCTCTGTCACAGTGTATAGAAAGTGAGTACGGCAGCTCTCTGTCATAGTGTATAGAAAGTTAGTACGGCAGCTCTCTGTCACAGTGTATAGAACGCGAGTACGGCAGCTCTCTGTCGCAGTGTATAGAAAGTGAGTACAGCTGCAACCTGTCGCAGTGTTTAGAAAGTGAGTATGGCAGCTCTCTGTCACAGTGTATAGAAAGTGATTACGGCAGCTCTCTGTCACAGTGTATAGAAAGTTTGTACGGCAGCTCTCTGCCACAGTGTATAGAAAGTGATTACGGCAGATCTCTGTCACAGTGTATAGAAAGTGATTACGGCAGATCTCTATCACAGTGTATAGAAAGTGATTACGGCAGATCTCTGTCACAGTGTATAGAAAGTTAGTACGGCAGATCTCTGTCACAGTGTATAGAAAGTGATTACGGCATATCTCTGTCACAGTGTATAGAAAGTGAGTACGGCATATCTCTGTCACAGTGTATAGGAAGTGAGTACGGCAGCTCTCCGTCACAGTGTATAGAAAGTGAGTACGGCAGATCTCTGTCACAGTGTATAGAAAGTCAGTACGGCAGATCCCTGTCACAGTGTATAGAAAGTAAGTACGGCAAATCTCTGTCACAGTGTATAGAAAGTCAGTACGGCAGATCTCTGTCACAGTGTATAGAAAGTTAGTACGGCAGCTCTCTGTCACATTGTATAGAAAGTTAGTACGGCAGCTCTCTGTCACATTGCCAGGAACGTGGGTACAGCAACACTCTGTCAAAGTGTATAGAAAGTGATTACGGCAGCTCTCTGTCACAGTGTATAGAAAGTGAGTACGGCGGCTCTCTGTCACAGTGTATGGAACGTGGGTACGGCAGCTCTCTGTCACAGTGTATAGAAAGTGAGTACGACAGCTCTCTGTCACATTGTATGGAACGTGGGTACGGCAGCTCTCTGTCACAGTGTATAGAAAGTGAGTACGGCAGATCTCTGTCACTGTGTATGGAACGTGGGTACGGCAGCTCTCTGTCACAGTGTATAGAAAGTGAATACGACAGCTCTCTGTCACAGTGTATAGAAAGTGAGTACGACAGCTCTCTGTCACATTGTATGGAACGTGGGTACGGCAGCTCTCTGTCACAGTGTATAGAAAGTGAGTACGGCAGATCTCTGTCATATTGTATTCAACGTGGGTACGGCAGCTCTCTGTCACAGTGTATAGAAAGTGAGTACGGCAGATCTCTGTCATATTGTATTCAACGTGGGTACGGCAGCTCTCTGTCACAGTGTATAGAAAGTGAGTACGGCAGCTCTCTGTCACAGTGTATAGAATGTGAGTACGGCAGCTCTCTTTAACAGTGTATAGAAAGTGAGTACGGCAGATCTCTGTCACATTGTATGGAACGTGGGTACGGCTGCACCCTGTCACGTGTTATATATGAAGGGCCACATCTCAACTTCTAGTAATTTGTTGAAGTAAGAGAAATTGTAATAATTTTTTATCATGTTACCGTTTTAATAAATACATTTTTGACACTGACAGGTTCTGAAGGTGTTTGACTGCCATATGTTTGTAAACCAGTGATAGTGTGGAGCTGCTGGGTTTGTTTATGCTCAGCATCACATTTGTCCTCCAGGTAGACGCTGTGTGTCGGGGTCCCTTTACTTCGGCAACAATAACATCACCAGAGGCGGCCGGACATGTCAGCGGTGGGACACCCACACACCCAATGAACACTTCGGAATGCAAGACTCGCTTTCCAACATGCAAACAGTCACCAGTATGGCGGAGGCGGGCAACAGGTGCTTGACAGAGTTCAACGACCCCATACCGTGGTGTTACACCACAGATCCCGCACTGCGTTGGGGAACACTGCAGCATTCCGAATTGTTAGGATGTTGCAGACGTCACTGGGAATACTGCAGTATACCTCATTGTCAGGATGTTGCAGATTGTACTGGAAATATCTAAATCCTGATTGTACAGAAGTCCATGTTCCTAAAACAATATCATTTTAGGAACCGACCATTGTATATTATTTGGGGATGTGGTGTCGGGGGTTCTGGGTTTGTGTGTTCGGACTAGATATTTTGGGGATATTTTGTTCATTAAAACTATGAGCCTGGATATTATTTTTACAAAAACACCTTGGCAGACAATTATTTTCAGCCTATCTAACAACCGCCCCACCACCAAGCCATCCCACCACCCCACCAACTCACCTAACCCCACCTCCACCCTGTCGCCCTCACCCACAATATCAAATGGTCGATCCCTAAGGACAGGACATTTCATAAAAGATAAAGTTTAACATATCAGCTTTAAAGATTTAAGAAGCTCCAAGAATATTAAAATCAAACTTTACCAAATCGGGTCAGTGTTAAGTCAATTATTGAAGTAAGTGATATTTTGCAGCTTGAAAGAAGCAACACAGCTTGCCAAAACATTACCACATAGTGGTGTACACCCAACCTGATTCACCTGTCAATGGATCCTTGAGATTACTAGTTAACATTAACCATGACATTCAGCTTTGTAGTCACTGCTGCCCTGGACATAGGGCAACTCCCTCGGTTCGTTGGTTGGTTTGTTGGTAACGCCGCACTCAGCAATATTCCACCTATATGACGGCGGTCTATAAATAATCGAGTCTGGACCAGACAATCCAGTGATTGATATCATGAGCATCGATCCACGCAATTGGGATCGATGACATGCATCAACCAAGTCAGCAAGCCTGACCACCCGATCCCGTTAGTCGCCTTTTACGACAAGCATTGTCACCTTTTACGGCAAGCATGGGTTGCCGAAGACCTATTCTACCCCGGAATCTTCACGGGTGGCAACTCCCTTGACTCACAGCACTATGAAATACGCCAGTAATAACAGGAAAAAATAACATCATCCACTGACATGTCGGTTACTATACACAAAATATTTTATTCCTCCCAGAAGTTAAATTGGCCATTAACATGTAATAATCCTTCCCAGCACTTACTGACCATTCATAAATAACGCATTGCGTAAATATAGCAATAGATATTTTCAGGGGCAATGGGGAAGTCTTTTGGTTAAGCGTTCGTTCGTCACACCAAGGTTCGGTTCCAAACATGGGCACAATGTTTGAAGCAGTTGTCACCCGCTGCGGCGTGGCTTGAATATACCTCACTCATTCAATAAGTATACGGTTTGTACCGGAACAGTTGAATATACCTCACTCATTCAATAAGTATACGGTTTGTACCAGAACAGTTGAATATACCTCACTCATTTAATAAGTATACGGTTTGTACCAGAACAGTTGAATATACCTCACTCATTCAATAAGTATATGGTTTGTACCGGAACAGTTGAATATACCCCACTCATTCAATAAGTATACGGTTTGTACCGGAACAGCTGAGATTCATGTTTGCATTTTGATGAGTTTGTAAATTTCTGAACACAACAAACGCCATCGGCTCCTTCTGCAAGCCAAGCAGACATAATTGTCTGATAAATGAATTGATTTTCTGCCATGGCGACAGAGGAATCGGGAACATCCAGGTGCAGTTAGACAAGGATGTATGTACCTACATACTAGATTACGCAACAAAGGATATGAACATGTATAAGGCATTAGTAAACCTTTCGTTGAAATGTCAACAGTTCAAATCAGTAACAATCGATAAGATATATTTGCCCCTCCCTGTACGTTGACAGAATAAGGAAGCGTTTGAAGAGTTTCGCGAAACACATAACTTTAATATATTTATATGACGCACGTAGCATTGGATATCAATTTACAAACTCAAACTTCATCTCAATAACCAAACCATTTTACTGTTATTCTACTGTATGTGCAATCAAGCATGCTCTTTATACAACTCTTGCTCAAAAGTTGTTTGATCAAGGTTACAACACTCAAAGCCTCAGAAAGGCTTAATTCAAAACGTTTTATGGTTTACATGTGAAGGACATTTCCAAATTACCAAACCGATGTTTGATGCAAGTTCCTATTTTGCCTTGTATCCGTTCATGAAAAGTCCACGTGTTTTTGCAGGTGAACAATTGACTTGTCTTTGCATGTGTGACGGATGCCACAGGTGGGACAGGATACTCTCACCTTTTCGCGAACATCTAATATCAACACTTTTTTAATAGCAATTCATAAACACATTCTTATGATAAAGTCGGAATCATACAGTGGACTCTAAGAAGAGATGTTTATGATTATGATTATGGAAAGGGTTTTGTCGCGTATAAGTATGTCGGATTTTAACCGGTAAAAACATCCGTACAGCATGTTTTGTTAAACTATTCTGTTTGTTTGTTGTTTAACGCCGCACTCAGCAATAGTCCAGCTATATGACGGCAGTCTGTCATAAATCGAGTCTTGTCAGGGAAATCTGGTGATTGATATCATGAGGACCAAATCTACGCAATTGGGATACGAGAGCATGCATCAACCAAGTCACCGCGCCTGACCACCCGATTCCGTTAGTAGGCTCTTACGACAGGCACGGTTCGTAAAGAACAATTCTAACGGGATCTTCACGGATCAAGCGAAGCTCTACTTACTACAGTTAAGTACAGACTGGAGGTTTGCTGCAAAAGGGACTTTGAGCAAACGGGAAAGAAACTGCTTGACGTTTTCAATTCATAAACCAAGACAAACTTTATTCAATTTATTCGCATACGTTTGGGTTCTATTGCATGCTAAAAGATGCCTCTTGTGTAAAAACAAGTGAGTAGGAAGATACACATGTTGCCATTTTACATGGATCTTGAAAATTAATCACGAAGAAAAAGCAATATTAAATTGGACATTTTGAAAGGTTTGACTGTTTGATTCCATCTGTGCCAAACGGTATACAGTTTGGGCTGTTAAACCTAAATGATGGTTTCTGGGATTTATTCTCAACGTAATTTGGGATTTTTTTAAAAACTAAAGACAGAAAATAAGGGAACTAATGATTAAAATGTAGCTGTCGTTGGGGACCGATATTCTGAACGGAACAAAGTTGCCCGAATGTTTTCAGTTGGCAAATCAAAACTGTGATTTCTCGACTGTGGGACAAGCACCGTCAACCGGGTGGGGCTGCTAGGTCGTCTCATCACATTAATTCCACTACGCAATAGATTCAAATCTGCTCGTGTTATCAACAGAGAATTCCGTACAGTAACAGGAAGGCGAATGTCAACATCTTCTGTTAAAACCGACTCTATGCAGCCCGCAGAAATAGTTGAAATTTAGCATCCTAGCGTTGTTCCATTCGCAAGTATTATCGGCAGAAATCTGGAACTGCAAGACGACAATGCCAGACCACATTGTGCCCAGGTCGTCACCGATTATCTCCGACGAGAAGGCAAACAGACATGGGACTAGTCCGCCAAGTCCCCTGACGTGTCCCCAATAGAGCGTCTGTGGGGTGTTCTCAGTCAGAGAATGTAGGCCAGAGAACCAGCACCCGCTAACTTGGCTCAGCTTGGGGTAGCTCGACAGGTAGTATGGCGGACAATACCAAGGCAACCATACGCATGTTAATCAACTGTGTGCCATCATGCATGGTGTCGTGCATGAACCATCAGATATTTAGCTACACGCCCGAAATTATTTTACAGACATTTATCGTCAATACACTATCATTTCATCAGTCCCCGAAGGGGCGGTCGGGTAGCCCCCTGGTTAAAGCGTTCGCTCTTCACGCCGAAGACCCGGGTTCGATTCCCGATATGGGTACAATGTGTGAAGCCCATTTCTGGTGTCCCCCGCCGTGATATTGCTGGAATATTGCTAAAAGCGGCGTAAAACCTTACACACTCACTCACTCACTCATCAGTCACCTTATTTATGTCGGATGTATAATTGAAGACATTTCACTAAAGAAATAAAACGCCATTGAGAATGGACATCGCAGAACATGGTTCTGAAAACAAATGTCACGTTTGAGAGACAAAGCACATATTAGGGACCGACCATTTAATATTCTGGGGGTGGGCTGTGAATATGTATCGAGTTTACATAAATTTACAGCGACAGGTACAAAACCAGATATTTTTGTACAGAAAACTACGGTTATAACGAACTCAAAGGAACCGCTGATGTTAGTTCGTTATTACCGTTGTTCGTTATAAGCATATATGCAACGTATATACTACAGCAAATTGCTGGGACCAAAAACACCAGTTTGTTGTATCCGTCAGTTCGTTATACGCGTGTTCGTTATTAACGTAGTTGACTGTACTTATATTATATTCTTACGCAACAAAGAACATGTACATTTTTTTACGGGAGCGTTTATTTGATGTTAGGGGGAGGGGTTTGGGGGACTTTGTAGATAGATATGTAACTATATCTGGGGTCACAACGTTTAGTAACAAATGCTCCATGGATCAAGGAATTTAGTTTTCCCGTCAGTTTGTCACGTGGGATACTGGTGTACACAATTGAAAAAAATCATGCTTTGATAGAATTGAACTGGGTTCTTCTCTGAGATTGCAAAAAGTCAAGCAAATCCTTTGAATTTTGGAGAATCTACATGGTATTAATTCCACTTTCCTCAAATAATTTCTGTGAATATGAAGAAAGTCCTTCCTTGATAGTATGATGAATTGTGGTTTATCGTTTAAACATTTTACAGACACATTTACCCTCCAATAGGTCTCTCTTTCTGTGGATTGTTATGGCGCTTTTGAATCCATTACGAAAGAGCAATAGGTTTGTCTTCAGGTCAAGTCAGAAGTTGATAGGATGGATGCATGGTTTTGACAGAAATGAATTTGCAACCACATGACCCCTACCATTTTTTAAATGTAAATTTGTGCGGAAAAAAAGCAAATTTATTGATTTTATTATATTGATTATTGATGTCTAAGACACCCATCAGCAGTTGTGTATCATATGATTTTTGTATTTTAAAAAAATCAAAATTTTAAATCAGATTATATTTTTTTTAAATAAAAGCATGTAGAAGTATTCTTTGAGTGCTGAATAAGCGCCAGTACAGTTCGTATAATATCGCAATCTTAAGATATTTTCAATTGAAAATGAAAAAATATATGAAAAAATCAACTGAAAGATATGGTTTCTTTTGCTCCTCAGTAGAATAAAAAAAATTCAATTGAATATGATCCAATAGGTAAATGTTCACATACAGGGATTAAGGGAGTAATCATTTGAATTTCGGGAAGAAGAGTTTTTATGGAAAAAATTACAAACCGCTCGTATTTTAGGAACAAAAAGTGCCTTTTTTTTGCAAATGAATTTCCAAAGAACACACTTACCCATTTTCATATCTTTAAAATACAATAATAATTGACGACAAGTTTATTTTGGAGCTCCAGAACATACAAAAGTTATTCATCTCAAACCAAAATCCCCCCAGAAGCTCCAGAACATACAAAAGTTATTCATCTCAAACCAAAATCACCCCCCCCCCCCCCCCCCCCCTTTTTCTCTGAAATTGAAATGGTTGCTCCCTACAAGACAGGACAGTTGTCGTTAATTATTTTCCGTAGTATTTTCATAATTTGTTCAGCATAAAAATTATGTGTTAAGATCGATTGTCAGTAGAATTGCTTGCAATATTGACATGTTCATTTTCTTTGTATTTTTAATAGCCTGGTTTACATACAAACATTAAGTGGAAGGTTAATATATGTTTGTCTCTTTCAATGTCCTATAAGTTAAATAGACCACCACAAACGGGAACATTTGTAAAAACGACTTTATACCAATCAGCAACATATTGCTGACAAACCTTCACCCGTGGTTAACCTGTTGTGTGTGTATATGATGCAGATTGATGGTATGTAACTTATTTAAACATATTTTATTGCAACAAATCAAATGGATCCGACACAGGTGACACTAACGAAGCCTTCTCCTACATACACTTCATTACATGGTGATATGCGAATAATGTGATAATGCAGAATATATGTACAGTGCGGAATTTATAAACAAATAATACTCATAACACAGACACATTTATATACGTACGCACGTACATATATATTGACGGATGGTAATCAATGATTGTATCAGGGTACAAAACCTAAATGCAACTACCACATGTAAGAGGTAGCACGCATTACATACAAAGAGGCAGTATTGATTGTATCTATGAAAACATTCCATCCAAAGTTAGTTCAGCGGAACAGCATGAGATATTATTGATAAAAGTATTTAATAGTATTTATTGTTTGGAGAAATATGTTATGTCCAAAGCAGACTGCCTGAATAAAACAGGTATTCAGAATATTTTTTTCAGATTATTCTCTTGCGTTGACTTTTTATATTTTATTGATTTTTCAAAAGCCTTCGATTCTGTGAATATGAAAAGCTTTCAATTAGTATTTATTCAAAAAGAATGATCTTGGTACAAAAATGGATATATAGTGCTGCGATCTATGTACCAAAATGTGAAAGCCTGTGTGCGCACATCGAAATTAAATATACAGAAGTGTTTGAATATCCCTTAGGTGTACGGCAAGGTTGTGTTCTTAGTCCGTTTGTGTCCTCATTTTCCCTTATTGAATTGGTAAATGAAATCAAGTCCACTAGAATGGTATTCGAGTATTTCCAAATTTACTGGAGCTGTTCCTTCTTTTATATGAGGGTTATGTTGTTGCTCTGTTTTCTGATACTGTTATTGGATCCCAAAACAAATCGATATTTTAGAAAATTATTGCTCTTCGAGTAAGTTTAGACAAAACAAGAATGGTTGTATTTCAAAATGGAGGCAAACTTTCTAGAACAGAAAAGGTGGATTCACAAACTTGTCCCAATTAAAGTTTCATCGTCGTATAACTACAATGTATTGCATAAATCCAGGTACAAGCATGTATATGCTTTCTAACAACTAGTGATAGTGTACTAGGCGAATGCGAAAGATACTTAAGATACATATTGGCATTTAAACGTTGTATCTCCATGCGTCCTTACCGCAATCCATCTAAAGCGTATAAGATATTACCTTATCTGGCTAAAAATGCAATTGATTCTAGAAACAAAAATAACTGCGCTACACTGATTAAAATGACACTGTTTCAATTGAGTCTGTGATGTGCGTGGATTGGACTAGGAATTGGACTAGGAATTGGAATGTTACAGCCATTTTATCAATTGTGCGACAAAGATGTAAAGATTGTTGTCAGCATGAATTGATTAGAAATATTAGTAATAAAAATTGTACATATTCGTATTTTTTAGGTGAAAAGTATATGACCACTGTAAATATAAGAAAATTACGAAGAGCATTATTGCAATTTCGATGTGGCTATTCTGATCTAAAGTATCTAAATATTTCATGCCACTGGGAACCAATTATGTAGGAAATAACCAGCTTCTAACGTAAACTTGCATGTACCACTCACCCATTATGATCACTGTACTTTTACTGCGGGACTTTGGCCTACAGTTCAGAAATAAACATACTCTACAGCGTTTATATTTACTTGAAATGGGTCGGTGTCTCTGCTAGTGGACTGAAGTTTTCACCAGAAGCTCAGTAGCATTGATTATTCTGATTCCACTACGAAAACTGCTTGGACCGAGACATTATAACAGCTGTGTATTTATTAAGTGTTTCGCTTTGCTTGTAAGTGACAATATCTCTGTACTTTTAACGCAGCACTGACTTTTCTGGTCCAGACACACTGTCACTGGTTTGTCTGGTCCAGACTCAGAATCACTGGCTTGTCTGGTTCTGACTCACTGTCACTGGTTTGTCTGGTCCAGACACTATTGTTTCTGTTTTTCGAAGGGACATAACCATGTTGATGATGAATTCCATGTTCTTATGATTTGTGACCAGTATTCTAGAGCAAGAAGAAACTCTTTTCCCAAGCGTCTCGTTACCCCTCCCTCTATTGAGAATTTTATAAGACTTATGTCAGCTGAAAACGAACAAATTATAAAAAGCTTAGGTAAATGTCTTTTCCAAGTCATGAACATTCGAACGGAAACACAGTGTTGAACGGTAAATCATTATTAAATCTACTCAGCATGCAAATATATATACCGTTATTTCCATTGTATTATGGGCCGGTGGCCTGAAGTACCGAATCAATTCGTCTGTCTGTCTGTCTGTCTTTTTACAGGCCGTAGGCGTAAATGGACCGTTGTTTTGTTTGTTTGTTTGTTGTTTAACGCCGCACTCAGCAATATTCCACCTATATGACGGCGGTCTGTAAATAATCGAGTCTGGACCAGACAATCCAGTGATTGATATCTTGAGCATCGATCCACGCAATTGGGATCGATGACATGCATCGACCAAGTCAGCGAGCCTGACCACCCGATCCCGTTAGTCGCCTTTTACGACTAGCATAGTCGCCTTTTACGGCAAGCATGGGTTGCTGAAGACCTATTCTACCCCGGAATCTTCACGGGTCAAATGAGCCCTTGGACAACAGACAGGTAATTGGCGGGTGCCGCCAGATTTCTGGTAACTTTATGAGTGAGTGAGTGAATATGGTTTTACGCCGCTTTTAGCAATATTCAAGCAATATCACGGCGGGGGACACCAGAAATGGGCTTCGCACATTGTACCCATGTCGGGAATCGAACCCGGGTCTTCGGCGTGACGAGCGAACGCTTTAACCACTAGGCTACCCGACCGCCCCGCTAACTTTATGATTTCGCATAAGTTTACGGAACAGGTGTGTTTGGACATGATTATAGAAATGGGTTTTTAGCTTTATTATTATAAAGCATAGCATAATGTGTACTATATTATTATAAAGCATATCATAATGTGTACTTTATTATGTACCAGCAAGTCTTTCCTTTGACAGTAAACATGAAAGTAAGTTGATCACTTTAAAAAAAATCCAACAGGAAATTAGCATAATTCATGACAAGTGTTTCATTGATGCATGTACCGAAACAACGTGATGTTTTTTAGCGTATCCCCTTTCAAACGAAGTAATGAAACCTGTTACGGGATGCCTGATTGAGTTTAAAAATATTGGCATTTTCGCATTGTTACGAGTGCTTCGAGTCGACTTTAATTAACACTAAAATAGAAGTTTAAAAAAATTGTTGTAGTAAATATCCGCTGACAAAGACGTCGATCAGCTAGGTTATAGAACTCTTCACTTCACCATGATGACAACCGTACAGATCCGTCAAGGTTCAGAGATCGATTGCATTCATTATAATATGTATGTGCGGCGTTATGCTAGAGTACATCACAATGCAATATCTAGCCGCGCACAACTTACTTCAGGCTCTGACTTGGTAAGAATTAGGATTATCCTTCAGTGTCAATTTGGCAGGACAGGCACCAATGACAAACTTCTGACATCGATAAAGTTTGGAGTTTCTTCCCAACACAACCTCTCGATGGGTGCCAACGCCGTCACCACTTTCTGATAGCAAAACAATTTACTACTGAACATGTACCAAAGCTGTGACAAGATAAAAAAGAAGAGTGTTTCTTACGCAAAGCATGCTGGAGAGGTAACAACGTTGTGAAACGTTTCTCAGAACACAATTGTACAGTGTTTCTGGATAGGCACCAACGCTGTGACACATTTCTAAGATTAAAATAGAAAAGTGTTAGATAATCAACGCATGCTTGACCAGTGCCCGCGCTGTGACAAAATCAAAGATGGCAAAAGTTTTAACTGTTGTGGCAGTTTTGTTGATGTGGTTGACTCAAGTGTCCATGACTTGTACCGAACTTTCAGAGCGACTGTCCAGCGGTGTGTTCCAGAAACTACGTCTGCTGAAGTCCACCTATGTGGTGTTGTCCTCTCACACCCAGTACCACTGTGCCATGCAGTGCATGTATGATACTATTTGTGCCTCCTTCAACTACGACACCACGACGTCTTCGTGTGAGCTGAACAACGTAACATCCACCACCACGCCTGATCAGGTAGTCAACACACCTGGATGGATTAACGCCAATGCGGACAGCTTTCCACAGGTATTGTCATTCGTAGGTGATTGATAATTAACTCGATATCCTAACCTCCTTCAATGAAAACTCTAATTTAGCCAGGGTATTCATCCGATCAACGGCTCAGCAGCATACTCTAGCGACCATGTGATCCCCGTCATGACAAGGTACTGTAACACCCATTTTGTCGCCACTTTAGCAAGACAATGCAGCAACCGTCCTATCCCCATCTCAGCAAAATATTACATCATCTGTCCGATCCCCATGTTAGCAAGATAATACAGTAACCGTCCGATCCCAATCTTAGCAATGTAACATCACATCCGTCCGATCCCAATCTTAGCAAGGAAACACAACAACCGTCCAATCCCGATCTTAGCAAGGTAGTATAACAACCGTCCGAACCCAATCTTAGCAAGGTAATATAACAACCGTCCGATCCTCATCTTAGCCAGGTAACATAACAACCGTCCGATCCCCATCTTAGAAAGGTAATATAACAACCGTCCGATCCCCATCTTAGCAAGGTAACATAACAACCGTCCGATCCCCATCTTAGCAAGGTAATATAACAACCGTCCGATCCCCATCTTAGCCAGGTAACATAACAACCGTCCGATCCCCATCTTAGAAAGGTAATATAACAACCGTCCGATCCCCATCTTAGCAAGGTAACATAACAACCGTCCGATCCCATTTTTAGCAAGGTAATATAACAACCGTCCGATCCCCATCTTAGCAAGGTAATATAACAACCGTCCGATCCCCATCTTAGAAAGGTAATATAACAACCGTCCGATCCCCATCTTAGAAAGGTAACATAACAACCGTCCGATCCCCATCTTAGCAAGGTAATATAACAACCATCCGATCCCATTTTTAGCAAGGTAATATAACAACCGTCCGATCCCCATCTTAGCAAGGTAACATAACAACCGTCCGATCCCCATCTTAGAAAGGTAATTAAACAACCGTCCGATCCCCATCTTAGCAAGGTAACATAACAACCGTCCGATCCCATTTTTAGCAAGGTAATATAACAACCGTCCGATCCCCATCTTAGAAAGGTAACATAACAACCGTCCGATCCCCATCTTAGCAAGGTAATATAACAACCGTCCGATCCCCATCTTAGAAAGGTAACATAACAACCGTCCGATCCCCATCTTAACAAGGTAATATAACAACCATCCGATCCCATTTTTAGCAAGGTAATATAACAACCGTCCGATCCCCATCTTAGCAAGGTAATATAGCAACTGTCCGATTCTAATCTAAACAAGATAAAAAAAGGCAACTCTCCAATCACAATCTTAGCAAAATAAACTAGCAACTGTCTCTTATACTATTGGGTCGATCCCTAATAGTGATGTTTTATATTACACGTAGAACACGCAGAGGCCCATGTTTGTTCTGTTTGTTTGTCGGTGGTTTAACGCCGCACTCTGCAATATTCCAGCTATATCTCTGTAAATAATAGAGTCTGGACCAAACAATCTAGTGATTGGCATCATGAGCATCGATCTACGCAATTGGGATATGGTGACATGCATCAACCAAGTCAGCGAGCCTGACCACCCGATCCCATTAGTCGCATCTTACGACAAGCATAGTCGCTTCCTACGGCAAGCATGGGTTGCTGAAGACCTATTCTAACCCGGATCTTCACGGGTATCAGAGACCCATGTCTACACATGATCATGCAAGCATTTCGTATTATATACAAGTCATACACAAAGTTAAATTCATTGGCCACCAGGTGTATCTCAAACGTGAAGTCATTCCCACCTCGCACAACCTTCCATTATCCAGTGTACTATGCTGAACCGCAAAAGAAACGTCACCATGGATAGATATATGAGAAACCTTATTTTTCAAAACACTGTAAACATACTTTGAGACATATTAAAAAGATGAAACTTGGCAAAACTGATCGTCAAGGTTGAAATTAAAGTGGCAAATGTTCTTCAAGTGAAACACAACACTAGTCTCTGAAAAAATGGCATCACAAGTCAGTATCTCGTGTGTCCGCCATGTGTATTGATGACTGCCGTGCAACGTCGATACATGGAATGGATGAGGCGGTTGATGAAGGCCATAGGCACTTGAGCCCACACTGAGGAACGCCTGACGCAGTTCAGCTGCAGTTGTCGGCCTTGGTCGGACGTCATTCAGCCGTCTTTGAATCTCGTCCCACACGTGCTCATTGCGATTTTAATCGGCATTGAGGGCAGGCCACTGCATGGTTCTGATGCCATTCTGCTTGAGGAAGTCTCTTGTTGCTCTCGCAGTGTGGGCACGGGCGTTATCATGCTGAAACTCGCGGTTGCGGCGACGTGACAAATGAGGTATGGCGTGTGGTCTCAAGACTTGATCAATGTACCGAGTTGCTGTGACACCATTGCCTCTCCCTGGACCGATGTTCTGGAAGACCATAGGGCTGACTCTGTGCAAAACCAATTCCACACCACACCATGATGCTCGGACCACCCCACGAGTCTCTCTCAACAACACAAGCATCCGAATAACGTTCCCCTCGGCATCGCCAGACTCTCTCTCTCTGCCATCTGCTGTTGAGATACAGTAACGGCTCTCGGCTGAGAAGAGGACTCTTCTCCACTGCTGGTGGCGCCAATGCTGGTGCTGTGTTGCCCACTGAAGACGGTTCCGGCGATGACGTGTTGTCAGAATGGGTCCTCGGTGTGGCCTGTGACAGTGGAGGTGTCTGCTCGTCAATCGTCGACGCACGGTGTCCGCACTCATGTGTCGCTGGTGTGTCCCCATGGTCTGTCGAGCAGTTTCCGCAGCAGTAACAAAGTGATCTTGAAGATGCTGTCGCACAATCTGACGATCCTGAAGTCGGTTGGTGACCCTTGGTCTTCCACTACGTGGTCGGTCATCTGTAATGTTGGTGGTCTGGTACCGTTGCTGGAGCCTGCATATGGTCCTTACGAAGACTTGAAATGCATTGGCTACTTGTCGGGCGGTTTGTCCAGCTTGCAATCGTCCAAGAGCTTGGTGTCGTCCATTTCTTGTCAATCTTGGCATGTGGTAGCAATTCAATAACTAATGAATGTTATCTGATCTGGGTGGATTTTTAGAGGGCAAGAACGCATGTGCATTTCAATTTGCCCGGAACTCACGTGCATCGGGTTACCATGGCCGTTGCCTTGATGCATTTGGGCGACTGGTTTTATTGTCCTCTGCTTTATTTTTTTTAATCACCAAATTTCATTTTTCAGGACAAGGTAATGTTAAATTTTAGAAACTTTTGACAAAAATAAGATATTTAAATATAACTTTTCATGCAATGTTACTTGGGGTGACGTTTCTTTTGCGGATCTGTATATATCTCCATTCTATGTTGACAAATACTCTGTCCCCATTTGCCACCATAGCTTAGTTTTTAGTCCGATCCGAATCAAATTACACTTTAGAGCAAGAGAATAACACAATAGTGGCACAATCTCCATTCTCTTGTAATATTAGGCCTCTATTCTACGACCATGAGAACTAAAGCGGAACTTTTATAAAGTGTCTAAATACTTGGACCTTTTAGAATATCACTCACTTCCAAAAATAACTTTGAAATCGGTAAAGTTTCTCTTTTCAGTATTTCTTAAAATGGGGCATGACAGACCTGTCATACCATATGTACCGCCGTCTCAACATGAACTATTCATCAATAGTTGTTTTAATTCTGCTTCCCGAGGCAAAGGCGTAAACTGACTATAAAAGTCCAGTTTTCGAAACTGAACTTTCATAGTCAGTTAACCTCGGGAAGATGGTCTTAATTATGAAAACGTCGAAACCCAATCAAAAAAGCATATATCTTTCTTTAGAGTGAGTGAGTTTGGTTTAATGTCGCCTTGAACAGTATTCCTGCTATAACCATGCGCCGTGTATTAAAGTAGCAGGAATTCGCGTCGTTGTACTACTGTTAATCATTGGGTATATATAGCTGGGTACTATACAGTAGAGAAACGATATGACCGTCAGTTCCTAATTACGGGTGCCATCTATGAACTCCAGATCAATATCCCATGTGGCATTAAGGGACTTGTTATTCTGACATTGATTTTTGTAGTGCTGGGAGTGTTTTCTGTCATCTATTATTGATGCCTTGCACGCGATGTAGTCCCCTGGAAGCTTCGTAACGACGAGCATATAGACTGAACGTTGGAAACCATGTCTTGATCTATAACGCGGCAACACGCAACAATGTTGGCGAGCAAGAACATTCTGGTATTGATCTTCAAAACGTTGTAAGACAAGAACATTCCTGTATTTTCCCGAAACCCTTGTTGGGCAAGAAAATTCTGGTATTGTTCTTCAAAACGTTGTAAGACAAAAACATTCCTGTATTTTCCCGAAACCCTTGTTAGGCAATAACATTCCGGTATTGTTCCTTAAAAGGTTGTTAGGCAACAACATTCTGGTATTGTTCCTCATAATATTGTGGATCAAAAACATTCAGGTAGTGTTCCTGAAAATGTTGTGGAGCAAGAACATACCGATATTGTTCCATAAAATCTTGTTAGGCAAGAACGTTCTAGTTTTATTTCTCAAAATGTTGTTAGGAAAGAGTATCCCAGTATTGTTCCATAATCTGTTGTTTAAAAGAACATCTCGCCCATATTTCCGAACGAGGCAACACGCAACAATGTTGGCGAGCAAGAACATTCTGGTATTGATCTTCAAAACGTTGTAAGACAAGAACATTCCTGTATTTTCCCGAAACCCTTGTTGGGCAAGAAAATTCTGGTATTGTTCTTCAAAACGTTGTAAGACAAAAACATTCCTGTATTTTCCCGAAACCCTTGTTAGGCAATAACATTCCGGTATTGTTCCTTAAAAGGTTGTTAGGCAACAACATTCTGGTATTGTTCCTCATAATATTGTGGATCAAAAACATTCAGGTAGTGTTCCTGAAAATGTTGTGGAGCAAGAACATACCGATATTGTTCCATAAAATCTTGTTAGGCAAGAACGTTCTAGTTTTATTTCTCAAAATGTTGTTAGGAAAG